CAATGCTTCCCACTCTCCGAGCTTTTGCACCTCTCTTCCTGCTGTGCCGACTGGGACACAACAGTGGCTGCAGGTAATTCAAATTGCAGTTTCCAGTGGCACGGGTCCAGCTTCCGTGCTGATACCTTATCTGTGCCTGCTGTCTCACCAGGATTGCATTTCCAGATGGTTTCTCTTAATTTAGTTCGTTCCTGGGTCAGCAAAGAATATCCCCCCTTGCCTGAACTTCCTGTCCGGCACCATTCCTAGATTTCAAGTGCGGTTTCTCCAAGAGCCTCAGAGGCTGCTGCTATTTATCCGCCATGTTCTTCCATCTTCTCTGTCCATCTTCTTTGGATTTCCTTTATTTCAAAAGAATTTTGCTGCACTGATTGTTGATACTCTCCTTCCTCCTTAAAAAGCTCCTTAACTGCCATTCTCTATTGCTTGGCCAGAAGTTACTAAAGTTCCTCTAAGTATTCCTCCTCCACTCAACATCACCACTGTCTATCAGAAAGCCTATGGACTGCTATAGGGACAGTGTCATCAACCACAGGGTCAACTCTTCTGCACAGCCTTCCAAGTCTCTGTCTTGTATAATTTTAGGTCACATTTTCTTTCAGGCAGATTTCAGTGTTTAACTTGGAGACAATGGCCCAGGATTTCTCAATTAACCCCACACAGAAAAGGATGTTGTAATGTTTCTTTCAGAACTCTTTAAGGGTTAAATCTGTATCTGAGACCATCTGGAAGCACTTCAGCAACAGTTCCTTGTTATATATACATAACTTTTTGAAGTTACCTATAACCTACTGGCCCTTAAGCTGCAGTAGAGGGGCTGTATTAGGTGGGAGGAACTTAACTGAGGAGGAATTCTTCAGCTGATTCTTCTTCCAAATGTTGTGGGTGAGCAGAAATATTGTTCATGATGAAGAGAGCCTTAAGTGGTAAACTTTTGTCGTTTAGGTATCTCTTAACAGTAGGACAGAAAGTCTCCCGGATCCACTCAAGAATAAGTGCTCTTGTTATGCAGGCTTTTGTGTTGGATCTTCACATGACCCTACCCCACTTCAGGACTTCATTTTTTTGAATACCTAGGATCTCAGAGTGATAAATCAAGAGATGCTTTATCTTGAGGTGTCACCACTCACAGTGGAACATAGTAGTAATGCTAGCCTATCATTCATAGGCTTGTGGCCTAGCACTTTCTTCTCTTCTGGGTACTGTATGCATTTTCTTCCAGAAAAGGTCAGTTTCATCACAGCTGAAAACTTACAGAAGCCATTCCTGTGTCATCACTTAGAAGTGGTGTATGTAATTTTCAGCAGCCCTGTTAAAACACTAGCTGCTTTACCATGCCTAGTGATGCTATGAACCCTGATTTTCACTCTAAAATTTTGAAACCGCTCCTTACTGCCACTAAATGTTTCACCATCATCACTTAATTGATTATCCATTATGAGATCTGCATTTATGCTCCTAGCTTTTCACAAATTATAGACTCAGTTAGGTTATAACTTGCCATCTATCTTTTGTTTATTCACAGTAATATAATAGTAGTCTTTCTACCTTATTGTTGATTGTAACTTACTAATTTGCATAACATCTTTAGTAACACTAGCTTCCTTATACAAATCTTTTCTCTGTAGGACTATTGAGATGGTGGATTTCAAATGCTGTTCATGTTCGTGAGATCAGTCACATGAATGCCACCCTCATATTTCTCTAAAATTTTCTTCTTTTTTCTAATGGTGATTGCTTTTTTCCCTTCCTTAACTTCTTTTCTAGCTTTTATTGGGGTTGCTATTAGCTGGTTTTTACTGTATGCCAATATCTGGTTTGCCTGTTTTTATTTTTATTTTTTATAAACTAATATTAACTAAAATTACTGAAAAATCAGAACATGGCACAAATAACATTCTAAAAAAAAAAATCAGTTCACAGAAATCACAGCAGAAAACTTTCCAAGTATGGGGGAGGATTTTTGTTTCATTTTTTTTTTTTGAGACAGGGTCTCTCTACGTAGTTTAGGCTGGCCATGAACGCACAGTGATTTTCCTGCCTCAGCTTTCTTAGTGTTGGGATTACATGTGCCACCATGACCTTCGAGGTGAAAGAATATAATGTATACTCAAAATTCCAAATAGCCAAGATCAGACAATAACTTCTCCCTGATACATTATGTTATCAAATCCCAGGAGGAACAAATCCAACACAGTAGTGAGGCTGAGGCAGGAGGATTAGTGAGAATTTGAGGCCAGGTGAGCTACATAGCAAGATCTTATCTCCAAAAACCAAAAAACCAACAAACAAAAAAGCCCGTCAAAGAAAAGCAACAAACCACTTATAAAGGTGAATCCACTAGATTTATACATTTTTTTTTGGAATTATACAATTCTTTTTTTTTTTTGTTTTTTAATTTTCACTTCTTAACATAAATTTTAAAGGCCAGAAGACTGGAGTGAAGTGTTTGAAGACTAACATATCCTGCAAAACTATCCTTCAAAAGTAGAGAAATAAAGTATTTCCGCAACAAAGAGCACCTTAAGAAATTCATGACTAGAACCAGGTGTGGTGGCACATTCCTGTAATCCCAGGAGGCTGAGACAGGTGGATCATTGCAATTTTGAGACCAGCCTGGGCTACAAAGTGAGCCCAAGGCCAGCCTGAACTAGACAGAGACCTGTCTCAAGAAAAAAAAAAAAAAAATCATGACCATCAAACCAATACTCTATAAAATTTCCAAGGATATCCTAGAAAGAGAAAATGAAGCCTATGATGTCAGAAAGAGTAATGGGAAGACTGTTTACATTGAGCTGATAAGCAAAAGGGAAAACAAGGAATTGGCAATAGGAAATAATACCATGACAAGAACAAGTCAGTAAGTTTCAATAATAACTCTCAACACGAATGGTCCTCACTCAAAGGATTCAGATTGGCAGAATGGGTCAACAAAACCAAAACCCAACAGTATGTCTCATACAAGAAAACATTTAATCCAAAAAGAAACTCACCAGACTAAAAAACTAAAGGAAGAAAAATGCCATTCTTTGCAATGGGAGCCCTAAAATAAGCAGCAGTAGCTACCTTACGATCAGACAAAGGCACAGCAGGTGATTACATATTGGCTAAAGAAACAATTCAACAGGAAGAGAGAACTGTAGAAATGTATATGCACTAAATACTAGCACAATCAAGTTCATAAAAGAAAGCTGCCTTTTAGGAAAACAAAGTATGGCTGGGTATGGCATTATATTCCTGTAATCCCAGCAGTTTTGAGGCTGAGGTAGGAGGATCTCCACTCAAGGCCAGTTCGAACTACACAAGGAAACTATCTCAAAAACCAAAACAAATAAAAAAGGAAGCAAAGTATGGGGCTGGGATTTAGCTCAGTGGCATAAACACCTGCCTGAAAAGGATGAGGTCATGAGTTCGAGCCTCAGTACAAAAAAAAAAAAAAAAAAAAAAAGCAAGCAAGTAAAGTACAATTACATAGATCAAAGACATCACCAATGGTCTCTCTCCCTTGGTGTGTTCATATCACACGTTACTTATACACTGATTGCGAACACTGCCAGGGACACATACTTCTTTAATCTCTTTGTTTTTATAAGTTGTTTCTCGAAATTGCTGCATTGCTGCTGGGGGCTGGGGATTTAGCTCAGCGGCATAAGCGCCTGCCTTGCAAGCAGGCAGTTTTGAGTTCGATACCTGGTACTGATAAAAATGAAAAAGACAAAAAAAAAAAAAAAAAAAAAAAAAAAAAGAAATTGCTGCTAAGTAAAAGAGCTTCAACATCCTGTATCACCCATGGCAGGTGCATCAGGCAAACCTCATCATGTCAGTACCTGGAGATTTCACACAACCAGAGATCATGGGGAGGGCAGGAGAACAGGAAATAGGATAATATCAGAATTATATATCTGATAATTTAATTTGTCCTTCCCCAAAGTCCCACTGACTCTTCTTAGTTAATTTTCTCTCATGCTGAGACAAATTACCTGACTTTCAAAGTTAAAGGGGGAGCTGGGGATATATGTACAAGTGCCTCCCTGGCAAGCATGAGGTCATGAGTTCAATCCCCAGTATCAAAAACAAAACAAAACAAAGCAAAGCAAAAACCAAAATTAAAGGGGGAATGGTTTATTTAGCTCACAGTTTATACATGTTTCAGTGCATAATTGGTTGGTTCTGAAGCAAGGTGACTTGGCAGAGGGGCAACACAGAAGAGAACAGGTTTATGGCAGCAGAAAAAAAGCAAGTCAGGAAAGGACCAAGACAAGCTTTTACACTGAATCCAGTCTACTGGGATTAGGACAGTGCTAACCCAATCAGTGGACTGATTTAGTAATCACTCACCCTTAATCTTGGCAGCCTTAATCCTAGCATGCATCATGAATCAACCACACACTCTAAAGCCAGCCACCTCTGAAAAAGCCCCACCTACAGCTGCATGAGGCTTTGTGGCGATATGTGCACACAAAACATAACACCCTTTCAACTCAGATTCAAACGGCTTCTAACAACTGTCATCTGCAGATATAATAACAATTGTAAACTGGCTTATTTCCCTATCTACTTAGGCACAAATATGTCAGAAATAGCCTTGTAATCCAGGAGTTCTACTACCTTTTACTGAAATAAAATAAAAGCCCTAAGCATTGAAGTAAAAGTAGTTCTTTCCATGTTCTATTACCAGTCTTCCTCTCATCCTTGGTGTACATATTGTCCTCACACCAGCAGATGTATAAGCCCTGTCCCAGCAGCTAGCAGCTTGCTGTCCCAACAGACAGCATCTTCTCACTGGCTTCAATGCCAAAGTGACACACTGACCAAGAACCAGGCTATTAACAAAGGACTTTTTGAAATTAATTTCCCTCAATAATACAAAACAGCAAAATTATAGAATTCAATGAGGGTTAAAACAAAAATGAGGTCTTACATGTTCCAAGTATTCTCTGCTTTCCATGTAAGAAATGAAGAGAAATTGTTAAAAAACAAAGTAGCCAAGCAGCACTCACCCCCTTATTGGCAGCAATGCAGCATTCAGCCAGCCGTAACCATAGGCGAGGATTTGCATGATAAACCTGAACAGCTTCAATCAGACACTCGAAGGCAGCAAGAGGCCTTCTGATGTGAAGAAGCTGAATCCCACAGTTATACAGCAACTCATACCTCTTGTTGGTTAATAAAGTACACATGGGTCTTCCTGAAAATTTTTTGCCTAGCAATAAAAATTCAATGGGAATAAATCATTAAAGTAACAGTTACACTGAAGACTTTAATTCTAGTAAGTACTTGAACCCTACCATGTTTAACACCACATTTAAAGTAAGTGCCAAAATCTGAAAATGCAATAGATTTCATCAGTGGTGAAAGCTTACAGATATTATCCAGTCATCTCAATTGTAGATGCTGGTAGGCCCAGAGATGTCTGCTCATCTGTCAGCAATGCAGGCAGCACTGCTCTAGGAAAGTAGAGTTCCCTCTTTCATTTTCAGCTTGGTTAACCATTTTATTGACATGTGATCACTTATTTAATGATTTATTCATTATCTGTAATAAGACTACTTGTTATTTAGAATGTGTATCAGTTAAATATGTTGTCATTATTTTTAAAATTAGACAACTAATTTAAACTGGGATTACAGGCATGCACCACAACACCCAGTAGAAATACAAATTTTGGCTAATCAAATACAGTGCATAACATTATCATGCAGTGGTACTGACTTTAAATGCATGAAAGAAAATGAACTTAACAAATTTTCTGTAATTCAGAATTGCTCCCACTGGGTATAGTGGTGCATGCCTGTAATCTCAGACTGAGGCAGGAGGAGTGCTATGAATGTCTGAGCCACAAGGTGAGTTCAAGGCCAGTTTGAACTACACAGCAAGACTGTCTCAAAAACAAACAAACAAAAAAATTTTACTCTTTACATCATATTATTTATTTATTTTTGTCTTTTTTTTTTTTTTTTTTTATCGGTACCAGGGATCGAACTCACCACTGCCTGCTTACAAGGCTGGTGCTTATGCTGCTGAGCTAAATTCCCAGCCTCTTTTTGCCTTTTTGAGACAGGGTCTCACTGTGCAGTTCAGGCTGGCCTTGAGCTCACTTTGTAGCCCAGGCTGGTCTGGAACTCTCAAGGATCCTCCTGCCTCAGCTTTCCAAGTGCTCGGATTGCAGGCGTGAATCACCACCCCCGGTTTATTCTTTTATTGAGCAGTAAAATACAAACTGTTCCCAAGTGCTGGGCTCACCTGGGTCAGTGCTCCCGGCGCTGAGCTGTGCACAGACGTTGTCATTCTCTTGCAGTGCCTTCTTAAAGTAAAAAATTCCCAAATTGTGCTTGCTCATGGCAAAATGGATGCAACCAAGGTTATTCCAGAACATGCATCGCAAACATTCACCTGAAAACACAAATAAATTTTTTCCACAAAAAAATCATACTCTTGCTGGATGTGAGTGAAGGCAAATGACCGTAAACTCAGCTACTCAGAAGGCTGAGGAAAGAGGAGTGGAGGTTGGAGGCTAGCCTGAGCAGTACAGTGTGACCCTGTCTGAAAAAAAAAAAAAAAAAAAAAAAGGACTGGGGACGTGATCTTCCATGTTGAGTTCAATCCCCAGTATTAAATAAACAAGTAAGTAATTTGAACCTTGACAGCCTTTATACAAGATGAATTATATTACGTAGGTTAATTCTGTTTGCAGTATTGGGGATTGAATCCCAGGTCTCTATATTAAACTATATTCCTCATTAAAATATGAAAAATCAGCAAGGTGTGGTGGCACATGCCTAACTCTAGCTGCTAGAGAAGATGAGACAGGAAGACTACCAAGTCCTAGGTCAGCCTGGGCACTTTAGCAAGACCTGATTACTAAGTTAAAAAACAAGGCTTCGGAATGTAGTTTAGTGGTACAGTGCTTGCTTAGCATGTGTGAGGCCCTGGGTTACATCACCAGGACTGAAAGAAAAAAACAAAAACAAAAAACAAAAAACAGAAACAAAAAACTCAGCATGGTATTACAAACCTATGAGATATCAGCACTCTGGAAAGCTGAGGTAGGAGAATCACAAGTTTAAGCCTAGCCTGGGCAACTTAAAGAGACTTTGTCTCAAAAGTTAAAAGAAAAGGGGGCTGAGGATATAGTTCAGTGTCAAGGCTCTAGATTCAATTTTAGTCCCAGAAAGAAAAAGAAAGGCAGACAGGCAGAAAGACAGAGACAAAAAGAAAAGAAAGGAGGAGCAGAGGCTGAGGAGAGGAGTCGAGGAAAGAGAGGGAGGGAGAGACAGGGAAGTGCAGGTGGGCTGGTCATATAGATGTAGCTCAGCATTCCTAGGTTCAAAAAAACAAAAATTCAGAACTAAAAACAGGCATCTAGAATAAAATACCTCTACAAAAATTTAAAAAGCTGTCCTTTTCATTGTCACGCCTCCAATCCAGTGCACTGAAAGGTGGAAGGCTTGAGTACATTAGTATGTGTACTATGTATGTGTTTGAAGATAATTCAAAACACCGAAACAAATCAAACAACTCGTTAACTTTTTGCTTTTCTTTTCTTTTTGGTGCTGGGAACTGGACTCATGCATGTTATCCATCTACTCTGTAATTAATATCTATAGTCACTTATTTATACTTTAAACTTCATACAACACTAGCATTTTAAATAATAGTTTACCCTCATTTCTTGAGCAATTTTCTTTCCTATCCTAAAATAGCAATGGTGGGCTGGGGATACAGCTTAGTGACATGGTACCAGCCTGGCAAACGTGAGTTCGTGAGTTTGATTCTTGGTACCCAAAACAAAACAAAACAAAACAAAACAAAACAAAATACTAAATAAATAAAATCAAATAGCAAGGGTACAAACCTTTGTAACAGTTACCACTTAAACTTTTCATTTTACGTTTGGTATTAAGCAATTAACTTTCTAAATAGACAAGAATAATTACTATTTTTCTAAGTTTATAGAAATAGTTTTGATATAAGTAATAGTTTAAATAAATCACTATAATATTTACCGCTTTTCTGGGAAAAGGAAAAAACTAAAATTACTATCTCATTTCCTTAAAAAGGTCTCACTCCACAAAGCAAAACCCCAAGGATCTTATTCCTTGTATACAATTTCTAAGTTGATATTAAAAACCAAAAAGAAAGAAAAAACAAGTGAGGTTAAGAAAAGTGAAAGAGGGGCTGGGGATTTAGCTCAGGGGCATAAGCGCCTGCCTTGCAAGCAGGCAGTCGTGAGTTTGATCCCTGGTACCAACAAAAAAGAAAAAGACAAAAAAAAAAAAAAAAAAGAAAGAAAGAAAAGTGAAAGAAAAAGTAATAGACTTTTTACAACAAATCATGAACTAAAATTCCAGGAATTTCTACAGCAGAACATTACAACATTTTCATTTAAAATCAGCAAAAAAAAATCACTTTGAAAACAGTCCAGGGCATGGGTTGGGTGGGAGGTAACAAGGCATAGATGAGCCAGGTAGATAATTCTTTTTTACCTGTTTTCATGAATCCTGGATGCTCAGCAATGTTCGAACTATTTAATAGCTTCACAGCTTTTCGATAATTGCCCCTTAAGTACTCAAAATTGCTTTTAAGAAACAGAGAAGGTGCAGACTGAAAAGGAAATATAAAAGTTACTTGCAGCCTAATGCAAGATCATAATTGTACTGTTGCCTAGGCATATATTTGAAAAGCATGAATGAATCCATTAAGTTATGGTCACAAAAAACTATATATGGTCTAACTTTTTCACTGTTCTTACAACCTAAAAGACTAAAAACTGTATGAAAGAATTTAGGGTCTATCTATAAAGAAAAAAGTATGTATCAGTATAGTTTAGGACTGGCGATGTAGCTCAGTGATAGAATACTTGCCTAATATGCAAAAGACCTTGAGTTTAATCCCCAGGATCTACATACACACACCATACATACACACATACATACATACATACATACATACATATGCACACACATATTTTCTATATAGTTTCAAATGACTATATTTTATTTGACTACTAATTAGAAGCCAATTAACTTTTAGAGACAGAGTCTCACTGTGTTGCCTAGGGTGGCCTCAAACTCATAGGCTCAAGTGATCTTTTTGCCCTGGTTTCCTGGGTACTTGGGACTGCAGGTAGGTGCCATTGCCTTTGTTTAGCTGGAACTCAGTTTAGGAGCACAAAGTAGGTCTTTCATTCTAATGGGGACATAACTATCATTCCTATTTATTTTTTTTGGTACCGAGAATTGAACTCAGGACCTTGCACTTACTAGGGATCTTTCCTATTTCTAAAAATATAAAATACAAATGCATCTTTCATTAGGACCCAAATAACCAAATACTTTTTCTAAATAGAAATAAAAAGCATCATCCTATAAATGGAAGAGTTTTTCAATAGCAAGTCTTTTTTTTTGGTCTTTTTTGAGACAGGGTTTCACTATGCAGTTCAGATTGGTCTTGAACTCACTCTGTAGCCCAGGCTGGCCTCAAAATCACAGTGATCCTCCTGCCTCAGCCTCTCAAGTGCTGGGATTACAGGTGTGAGCCACCATGTCTGGCACATCCAATAGGAAGTCTTTTTTAATGAGCACTAGTCTCACCCTTTAACAGATCATGTTCTAGATTCCGGATCACCTTGCCCTTCTTAAGAACCCTCATGGAGTTGGGCGTGGTGTTGTACTTCTGTAGTCTCAGCTACTGAGGGGCTGAGGCGTACAACCCAGGCAACATACTGAGACTTGTTCTGAAAAGAACAACAAAACAGAAAAAAGGATCCTGACAGTGGAGGGTCTTCTAAATAGTACTTAAGAATATAAAAGCAGGCAGACTCAGGAGGATGGCAGGAATCCTTGCCTCATTATTTATTCACTTTAGCTTTAGGCTTTCCTTTCTTCGAAATCTTAGTTCTTCCTTTGGTCTGCCTCAGGATCCAGGTTATGGTCACTAGGAAACAAGGGTTTTCAAGGTTGACACTTTTCTGAGGGGTAAGGTGAGAGGGAGCAGTACTGAGGACTGAACCTAGCCCCTTAACACTGAGCTATGATCTCAGCCCATTTAAAAATTTTTTATTTTGAAATAGGGCTTTGTTAAATTACTCAGGCTGGGCATAAACTTGCCATCCTCCTGCTTCAGCTTTCAGAGTACTGGGATTACAGGCTTGCGCTACCATATCCAGTTGATTCATACTTCCAAATCAAGTTTTTCTAAAAAAGTAAGACTCTTCACAATTCCGTTTTTTCCCCCCTATCATCTTAATTATTTATCAATAGAGGGTCAGGGTGGAGGGAAAGGGAGAAGAAACAATATATCAAATATTCTAGTACCAGGAAAACACCAAAGGCATACTCTAACCAAAACGCATTTGGAAGGAACAGGATTTTGCTATAATCTGATCATTAAATTTTTAATAAATGTCTTGAGTATAATACTAAAAAAATGCTAAAATTATATAAATCACTAATGTCAGCAAAATGTTTATGTGAACTGTGATAAAACCCTCACAGAACACTACGCAAGTATTTAAAATGGAGGTTTAAAAAAAAAGTAACAATAAATAAAATGGAGGTTCTAAAGGCTACAAACTGAAAACGCTCTTTTTGGGGTCAGGGATTTAACACAGCAGCGTAAGTGCATGACTGGCAAGTACAAAGTCATGAATGAGTTCTATCCCTGGTACCAAAAAAAAGAAAATGCTCTTTTTTTGGGAGGAGGGTATTGAATCCAGAGGCTTTGCATTGAGCTATACTCTCAGTCCATTCCTTATTCACTTACATATTTGGTTTGAAGTCACTATGTAGCCCAGGTCAGCCTCAAACTCATGGTGATACTCCTGCCTCAGCCTCCCAGAGTGCTGGGATTATAGGCATGTACCCCGCACCAGGCAATAATATTCTTTTTAATTTGCAGTGTTGGGAACTGAACTCAGGGATTTGTGCATTCATAGTGGGCAAACACATTACCATGGAGCTATATTCCCAGTCCAAGATGTTGTACTTCTTTTTTGGTCTTTTTGAGACAGGGTCTCACTGTGCAGTTCAGGCTGCCCTTGAGCTCACTTTGTAGCCCAGGCTGGTCTGGAACTTACAACGATCCTCCTGCCTCAGCCTCCCGAATGCTGGGATTACAGGCGTGAGCCACCATGCCGGGCTCAAGATGTTATACTTTTAAGTGAAAAATATATTGAATTATGGATGCAGTATGATCACTACTTCTGGACTTTAAATATCAAGATTTAGATTTTATAATAATAAAGATAATATACTAAGATAAATTATTTGGTGCTAAACAGAACCCAGGATCTTGCACATGCCAAGCCCATGCTCTGCCACTTATATGCCCAGTGCAAAATAAATTATTTAAAGTGATGAGTACCCATACTTTAAATAAGAACATTATAAACTGAAAAACAAAAGAATAGTCTAGAAGAAACTCACATTTCCAGCTGTGTTCATGACTGATTTGATTTCCCTTTTGCATGCTTTCAGGGACTTCATTTGGATATAAGCTCTTACTTTGTACTGTCAAAGAAGTATGTTAATATGTAAGCAGTGTGGTTCATTTCCTTCTGGGAGAGTTTTACTTTCTAGCTAAGGAAATTAAACCCAATATATTTATAACATAGTTTTATCAGTTCACTGAAAAAACAAGTTTAAAATTATTTTAAGTATTTTATTTTGACTATATGCTTGGAATATACTTTAAAACACTAAAAATACAGTAAAATACAATTTACACTGGAGTTCTGAGCAAAAAAACCTATTAATTCTTACCTGCACATGGTAATCACAAGTTGATGTTATCATCTAATACATTCCCAGGCCATTTCTCTCAATTTTTTTGTAAAATAACTAGAAATTATATCACACTAACATCTTAAATCAAAATATATTTAGAAAGATAAATGTATTTCTTTTTTGTTTTTTGAGACAGGGTCTCACCATACAGTCCAGGTCAACCTCAAACTATGTAGCCTAAAGGGCCTCAAACTCATTGTGATCCTTCTGACTCAGTCTCCCGAGTGCTGGGATTACAATAAATGTACTTCTAAAGTACAATACCCTCAAAGACAAATAAATATACATGCTTTGAATTATATACTGCTTTCAATGATTGGTCACATTGCTTCATTATTTATACCACAGTACAAGCAAATATATATCAACTATAACCACCCTTCAAAGGTTACACTACCTGATGTATCTTTGATTTTGCAGCTTCTATCAGAGCTCCACTTTCAGCTTTATGATTAGATCCATCTTTGTTGGTATTATTACCAGTCTGCAGGATGGTGAAACAAAGTTAATTGAAATTAAATATTTTTGACCATAATTGAGTTCCAAGTGATCAGATATGAACACTTATAGAGTATTTTCAAAATGTACAATCTTGTTGGGCATTGTGGCACATTGTTGTAATCCCACCACTCAGAAGGCTGAGGCAAAAGGATTGTCTCAAGTTTGAGGCTGGCCTGGACTACATAGGGAGTTCAAGGCCAGCCTGAACTACTGATGACACTACCTCAAAACCAAAACAAAGCTGGGAATTTAGCTCAGTGGCTCAAGCACTTGCCTGGTAAGCACAAGGTTGTGAGTTCAAGCCTCAGTACAAAAACAAAAAACAAAACAAACAAAAAATAAAAATGCAAAATCCCAGATTCCATTCCCAGAAATTCAGGTTTAGTAGTCTGAAGTGGGTGATAAGAAACTATGTATAAGAAGCTCAGAGTTGAGCATAATATTGGATTTTTTTTAAATAAGAAGAATGGGTATTATTCTCTCTCATTCATTCATTCATTTCAAGATAGGTTTGCTATATAGCACAGGCTGCCCTGGAACTTGGATGCCCCGGAACTCAAAGTGATCCTCCTGCTTCATCCTCCTGAGGGTTGGGATTGCACTACTACACCAGGCTCAAACTGTTTCCAAAACCCACAATAGAGCACGTCATTGCCATCTTAAAAACCTTCTCTGCTACAAACATCATCAAATCCCAACTCCCTAAAAAAGCAGTACAGGACTTTCAAGTTATGACTCATACTCATGTTGCAGTTTGCATCTCCTGCTACTTTCCATTACATATCTTAGGTCCTGCTTGTTTCATTACCAGAAAAAGTCTCCAGCATGCCAGACGCTTACATTTTTTGTTCTGTTTTCTCCAGCAGCACTGTTATCTTGCTCTAGCTCTTCTTTTTGAACTTGTCAAAGTATTCAAGGCCCAAATTAAACACCCAAACTCCCCCAAAACATCCCTAATCTCCTATGCCTTCACACTCAAGATCCAGAAAGCAAGAACTGCAGTGTACATTTTTGTACTTTAGTATCCATGAGAGCATACAAACATCTGAACTGAATTATATTTTAGTAAATATCCTAAGTGTTGAATTATAAATATTAAGTAGTTTACTATGTAACATGGAAGAATAATGCTGATTATTCAACTAAAATTGTTTGGTCCCTTTTATATACGTACTTGTTAAGGTGAAAAAGGAAAATATGTTAGATGTTTATCTTTAACTTCATGAATTTATACAGAAAGGTACTGACAATCTGTTTCCTGCAAATATTTCTTTGCTAAAACAAAAGGGCAAGAATAATAAAAATGGGCATCCCTTTACAACCAGAAGCACAAACAAAAGAAACAAAACATGAGGTCCAAGATGTGTTCTTTATATATACTATGTCTCTTAGCAGAACATAATAAAGCTTAATCTTCATAAATGTATAAACAGCTTTAATGATAAAACTTTCCCTAATGAAAACAATCCTGTGTATTTAGATTATGAATCAAACTCCTTTACTCCTTCCTTCCTCCCTTCCTCCATCTCTTTCTCTCTCTCTCTCTCTTTTGGAGCTGGAAGACAGTCCCCCAGGCTCATGCAAATCTCCTATCTTAGCATCCCAAGTGGGTGGGACTACAGGTGCATGCTACCACACTTAGCTAGATTATAGGTTTAATTTCCACCTTCACATTCTGTAAAAACAGCTCATACATGACAAGATGCTAAATGTACATCCTTACTAGTTAATGAAATATACATCAAAACTAAAATCACCAAGACAGGTAAAATTTTTTTTTTAAAGTATGGAAAAATTATAATTTTTGTAATTTTCTGATGGTAATGCAAAACAATGCAGCCACTCTGGAAAAGTCTGGTAGTTTCTCCTAATGTAACATACAGTTACTGTATTACTCAGTTATTCCACCCCTAAATGTATACTCCAAAATGTTGAAAACATTCCCACATGAGTCTGTACGTCAAAGTTCAGAGAAATATTATAATAGCCCTAAAAAAGGGAAAACCCAAATGCCCAACAAGTGATGAATGAATTTGAAACAACACGATATGTTAATATAATGAATGGAACAGTATTCATCCATAAAAAGGATAGAGTACATGAAAAAAGGACCGAGTACATGGTATAACGTGGAGGTAGTCTCAAAGAATTATAATAAGTAAAAGAAGCCAGTCACAAAAGGTCATGTATTGCTGAGCATGGTGAGACACAACCACTATCCCAGCTCTCAGAAGGCTGAAGCTCTCAGGAGCATGAGGCAGGAGGATTGTCATGAGTTTGAGGCAAGGTTGGGCTACATAGTATATTGGTATCCTCTGCTTCACATCTTGACAAGAATGCTTTTTTTGTACTGGAGATTGAACTCATGACCTTGTGCTTGCCAGGTAGGCGCTTGTGCCCCTGAGCCAAATTTCTGGCCCATGGTCTATATAGCAGATAGTGAGTTCAAGGCCAGCCTAAACTACATAGTGAGACCCTGCCTCAACACACACACACACACACACACACACACACAAAAAGGAGTATTAAAGGACATCATTTAGATGTAATGGCCAGATAGCTAGTACTGGGCAAATCTGCAGACAGGTAAACGTATCAATGGCTGCCAAGGAAGAGCAAATGGAGAGGAATTGCCAATAAACACAGGACTTCTTTTTGAAGTGATACGAATGTTCTGGAGTTAGTGATAACTGATGTACAATTCTGTGAATATACTAAAACAAAAAAACCCTGAACTACATACACACTTTACTCTTTTTTTTTTTCTGAGGGTATTGCTATGTGGTCAAGGCTGGCCTCGAACTCATGGTGATCTTTCTGCTTCAGCCTCCTAAGTGCTGGGTGTACAGGTGTGCACCACCATGTGCAGCAGAACTGTACACTTTAAAATGGTAATTTACTGGGTTTGGACAAAGGCAAAATGAAAAAATAAAGGGTAGTTTATGTGAATTATACCACAATAAAGTCAAGATTTCATGTCCACAAATATTAATCATATTTCTAAATTTTAATTTTATTATCTCAGAACACTTACCTCGTTCTTTCCATTTTTGTTATTGCTACCCTGAGAAATCATTTTTTCTAGGACAGCAAGAAGATGCAAAGCTTTCTCAGCTTGGTAGGTTAAGATGTACAGGTCTACAAGCAAAAAACATACCGCTTGGGCAAATTTTTCTTCTGGCAGGGAAAAAAAAAAAAGTCATAATCCAAAGTGAAGCACATATCTCAGACTACCCACCAAAGCATACAAAGCTCTGAAGAGCAAAATCCAAATCTTTATTTAAAGAAAGCTTATCATCTGGAGCCACAAATAAAAGTAATGTGCTATGCTAAAAATGTCATGCTATGAGGCGTCACCACATCTCTGTGTTATGATGGTTTTTTTGTTTTTGATTTTTTTGGTCTCTTTGAGACAGGGTCTCACTACACAGTTCAGGAGCTCAGGATGGCCTTCAGCTTACTTTATAGCCTGGGCTGGTCTTGAACTTGCAAGGATTCTCCTGCCTCAACCTCCCAAATGGTGGAATTACTGGTATATGCCACCATACCCAGCAACATTTCTATTTAAATAGTGACATATCTCAGGTCTTGTTTGATTACCATATAGTCAATCTCTATCCTCTTAAAACAAATTTAGCTTTATTTCACAGCATTCAAACTACTTCATTGTGTTTTCTTTACCATTAGAAAATATACTTAATGAAAATAAAGACTTTCTTGGGACTGGGGACTTAGCTCAGTGGCACAAGTGCCTGCCTGGCAAGTGTGAGGTCATGAATTCAATCGATTCGAAAACAAAAAATAAAAAAACAAAAAACCCCAAAAAACCCCAAAGACTTTATTTGGGTTTCTATAGTATCGCCAGATTCCAGAACAGTGTCTGGTCCCTAGCACTGGCCCTTGTGCACACTAATTATTACTGAAGGAAAAATTAGGACAGATGTGATTCCAAATTTGGTGTTCTAGAAAAGGCAAAACTATAAAGACAACAACAACAACAAAAATTCACAAGTTGTAAAGAAAAAAGAGAATCAATACATAGAGAACTTTTAGGGCAATGAAAACACTATGTGTAGCACTGTAATTGATATGAATGTCCTAACTCATATACCACCCAGAGTGAACCCTGATGAAAGGTATGGACTTTGTGTGATAATGAAATGTCAATACAGGTTTATCTATTATAATGAACATAGTGATGTACATTTACCAAAATGGGAGACTCTAAAGTGAGGGGAAGTAGCACATGGGGGAATCTCTGTACCTTTCTCTCAGTTTTGCTATGAATCTAGCTCCTCTTATAAGGATAAAATGTTTTAGAAGACCCCAAGTAGTAAAAGTCAGAAAAATAATCATAACAATTTTCAATAAGAAAAATCAAGTCAATTTGAATCCTGACTATACTGATTGCTATATTCTATTCAGCCATGATACAAATGAACTAGATCTTGTGTGGGCTATTAGGGGAATTCAAAAAACATAAACAGTAGCTTCATAGGAAAACAAGTGGGCCACAATTCTGACTGCTAGCTACATAGAAAAAAGTGGTTACCAGTTATACAATGCCTTACTGACATCTTTCTTGCCTGGTCCGTCCAACCACCAAGCTCTCAAAGTTGAGAGAAAGAATAGAAGACCCTCAAAATGGCTTCCTGGAACCAGCTCTCAGCAAGAAAGGATCCTAAACTCTTCCCAAAGCACCTCAGGGTGCTGCCACACCTACCACTTGTTCTGTGGTAAGCACATAGCAATCAGGTATTAATCAATTTGAAACTCCTATTAATTTTGGAAAGAAAAGAACCACGTAGAAGACAAAATATCAATCAAAATGACACTGGACTGCCTGGAGGCTGGACACTGACAACTCCTCTAATCACCTCTGCTGCTTCATTAACTCTGTTTCATATTTGCCTTTATCTTTCTTACTACTCCTACTTGAGACCAGCAATAGTAAGCTAGGTAAGAACAAAAAGCAACATATTTTTATACTATATTCTCTACAGTTATGTACCATAATTGCAGTTAGGCAACAGACAAAAATAATATCCTAGACTGCCCTCTAACATTTCAAATGCTCTTCTTTATAAAGGCACCGAGGTAAGAAACAATCCAGTTTACCAAAGTAATATTTAAACAGCAAAGAAAAGTCAGTAAGTCTTTCCAACAGTATTCCTAACAGTTATCTTCAAAAAACTGGATAGAGAGAGGTGCTAAAAGAAAACCTGGATCAATCAAATGTCATAAACTTCTATCTCTTCTAACCATTGAGAAAGATGACATAGTTTATTTTTCCTTTAACTACTGACATGTAATTTTTTGCCTGAGGTTATTTAGGTAAAAGTACCAGAGTTGGGCATGGTGATGCATGCCTGTAATCCCAGCACTTAGGGTACTGAGGCAGGAGGATCACTGCCAGTTTGAGGCTAGGCTAGACTACAAAGTGAGTTCAATGCCAGCCTGAACTGCACAGCAAACTCTGCCTCAAAAAGAAAAAAAAAGTACCGGAGAATTTTGCCAGTATAAGAATATAAGGAAATCTGGACTTCACAAAAGATAACATACCAAAAGGTTCTATGAACTGATAAAGTTTTTCACCAACTGCTATTGCTTCTGTATACTGCCGCAGATGATAAAGAATGACTGCTTGATTATAATACAACATGCTGTTTTCAACATCATCTAATCCATCCATTTCTTCAATAGCTGAGTGGACCTATGAAGCAATCAATGGAGAGAACATGTTCTAACAACAATACGGCAATTAAGGGCAAAAGTAAAAGAATTCATATGAGTAAACAAGAACACTGGTTAACATTTTTCTTTTAAGTCATGGGGGATTGAGTCCAAGCCTAACGCATGCTCGGGAACTGCTCTACCACTGGGTTACATCTCCAGGCCAGGGCAATATTTCTTTCTTTCTTTGAGAGACGCTCTCTTTATGTAGTTCAGGTTGGCCCTAAAACTCACAGCCTTAACTGCACAGTGAAACTTTGCCTCAAAAAGACAAAAACAAAAAACAACAATAACAAAAACTAACTATAACTAGCTGGGTATAGTGATGCAATCTTCTAATCCCCCCTAAGTGGGGGGCTGAGGCAGGAGGATTGTAAATCTGAAGCCAGCATAGACAGTATGTTGAGACCCTGACTCAAAATAAAAAAAAATTAAATGGGCTGAGGATGTAGCTCAACCACAGAGTACTTATCTAAATGTGTAGCACCCTGATTTCAATCCCCCATACTAAAAAAATTAGTGTCTTTAAACAGAAAATCTCATTTTCGAAAAAAGGCAACTTATGTTCTTGTAGTTATATAATGAAGGAAAAAACCCCCAAACTACAAAATAGTTTGTGGCCAGAAAAAATTGGGGGCTAGATAAGGTGCTCTGTATTCAGAATTGACTAACTTACAATGTGAATAACTTTACAACATTTTCTTTTCTGTCTTGCTAGGGATCAAACCCAAGGGTCTCAGGCATGCTAGGTAAGCACTCTATCACTGAGCTATATCTCCAGCCCATTTTGCCCTGTTTTCTATAATTCACCAAAATAATTAATTGCTCCAGTCAAAACAAAAACACACCAAATGAGTTAAAAAAAACTGGGATAGGTTGGTAAGTGTGTCCATGACATAAATAAGAACAGAAGTATGATCTAAAAGTCAGGAGACATACGAACAAACCCTGCAAGAAACTCAGAGTTCAAAGGTACTGAGCCAACTTCAGTAAGACTAAATGCTGGAGAAAAAATTTAAAAAGCAGTTTCTTGGCTTAACAGGAAGTCTGCAGAAGCCTCTGGTTAAAAGCCAAACAAATTTGTCCTAAAAAAAACTGTCTATAGGGTTAGAGACCACATGGACTACGTAAAAGCAGATATCTTTCCTTTGATTCTGAAATTCTGAGTCATGGGTAATAAATCCACAAAAATGCTGAAATATGATATGTACAAATTTATGAAGACTCTATTAGTTACAATAGTCTCAGGGGTCAGCCTGGGTAAGTCAAATCCTGCTCCTCTCTTTATCAGTGATTTATATTTAAAGTTATTAGACAATTTAAACCCTACTTTTACAACTGAAATAGCAAGCTTAGGGTGGCAGCACACATAATCCCAGTAGTGTAGAACCCTGGGGCAGAAGGATCATGAGTTTCAGACCCCAGCCTGGGCAACTTAGTGACTTATTAAGACCCTGTCTCAATTTAAAAAATTCAAAGGGCTGGGTGTACTTAATTGGGAAGGTCTTTGGCTCAGTTTTCATTACACTGAAAACCAAAACCAAAACTGAAACAAATAAACAAACTCAAAAGTCAAAACCTAAAAAACAAAAACAAAATGAAACAAAATAAAAACCCAAACAACCCTGAATTAGCAAATATGTCATGGGTTGAAAGTTAGAATTTTATGAAATAGGGCATAAAATGTATTTAATAAAAAATCTGGTATCAAATAAGTATTAAATAAATGTTGATTATGGTCATTTTGTTGAGGAATTTTAACAGAGTTTAAAAATTAGTTCTATAAAGTTATACAAAACCTGAAGGGATCACTATACCTAGGGCGAGAGTAGGTACAGTATAAAGGTACTTTTGATTATAGATCAGGAGCTCAGAAGTATTTCTGGAATCCCTACAGCATTAAGTAATTAAAAGTGCTAGCTCTGGGTTGGGGATTTGGCTCAGTGGTATAAGCACCTGTCTGAAGAGCACAAGGTTGTGAGTTCAATCCCCGGTACCACACACACACACACACACACACACACACACACACACACACACACTCACTAGCTCCAAAGCCAAACAGAACTGGGTTTATGTCACTCTTAATATTTAAGAGCTTTGTGTCTTTGAATAGCTAACATACTCTTGGTTTTTCAAGATCTCCAACATATAAAATGAGAAAAATTACAGTAGCTGCTTCATGGGTCTACTGAGATGCAGCATGTAGGTTCTTATTAGAGCCCTGTCATGCAGTGGACCTTTTAGGTCTGCTAGATGATCTTAAGAACTCCATCTGTCTTAGCCCTCTCCAACATAAAAGATCTAGCCCTGTGATGTGAGAAATGTGGCTGTTTTGAATACAGTAAAATGATAACCAACTGGAGCCCCAAATTAGACATAAATCAGAGTATCTTCTATTTAATTAACCATCTCCTTGCCCCAAATGCTGAAACAACTTGACAGTATTATCAACAATCAAGATATTACTAGATATAGGCCAAGAATTTAGTTCAGTGGCACAAGTACCTGCCTGGCAAGCATGAGGTTGTGAGTTCAAGTCCCAGAACCCCCTCCAAAAAAGATATTATCAGACATACATAAACAAGGTGTATCTCAGAAGTTAAGGTTCTTCATATATTTCCACTTAAATTCTTAAAAACTCTAAAGTTCATTCAAATCTGGTATAAGTTTATTCTGTTCAGGTTAATGAAAAACCCATGGGAAAAGCATACACATATATACATAACATACCTTTCATTTCCTGGAATAACAACTTTATACAAACAAAATTAGTATCAACAAATTCAAATACATTAGAAATTGTGCCATTAACAAATGAGATCACATTTATTTTCCTTAGCTACTTGTCTTTCACAAAATCAACATAACAATTTTTTATAGTTAAATTCATTTGTGTATCACCTGATTCTTCAGCTGGTTAAGTGTTTGTCTCAAATTATCTGTTGTTGTTTGGTTACTTTTAAAAAACTCAGCTACTGCTGTATTCAAAATTATTTTATAATCATCTTTGTTTATATCTTGTAGACAGGCAAGGTGTTGTAGACAGGCATCATAATTTCCAGACTAAAAAAAAAACAAAAAACAAAAAGCCACACATGCACACACAAAATTACATACCAGCTTTAAGAACAACACATCATTTCCAAATAATTTCACTTATCTTTAGCTTTAAAATTCTTAGATCGTTCCCCTAAATACACTAATTGAAATCATTAGACAAAGCAATATTCATATCAATTTAAAAATATGGATATTTATTCCTAACACTCTCTGAACTGACACATATATCTATAACACATACATGTAGCTATGATAGGTACACTGATGTATATGTGTGCATATTGCTAGCAGTGTGTAAATAGCAAAGACTAGCTAAGAAAAGTAATATTACTCTAAATTTTTCATATCTGGTAAATACACTTCAAATATGCAAGTATCAAATTCTTTTGCTTACATGCATATATGCTGGTAGTCAAATAAGATTTTTTTTCTTATCACTTAATTTAAAAAGGTTAAAATTCTGACAAACTTTTGGGGTCCCACTTTATAGTACAGTCAAGACAAAGAATTGAACAGAGTAGTGAAATGAAAAGACTAACCCACATATTTACAAATCTAAATTTAAAAGACTTAAAAAACAACAGTGTGGAGTTTAAACAATTATGAAACATAAAAACTTGAGAATAACTTAAATTCTATTTCTTTCACTATATTTAATTAAACTCTAAAATGCTTTAAAATGAAACCTACTTCTCTATATCTTAACTCTTGAATTAGTATAGAACCAAAATTATAAACTTAAAAATTCATGTGAACAAATCCATACTTGGCAGTCCTAATGTGAGCAGATTTAAAAGTGAGACCATTTCTTACTGTGAAGGCTTGGGCAGCGCTGGCAGACAGCTCCTTCTCCTGGTCAGTGATCCCAGAGGGCTGACCTGTCCCTTCGTGTTTTTCTGCTCCCTGATCTGTAAACACACAAGTTTTAGAGTTCTTTAGATGAAAGTGGTTAATGAGTCTGTCACAACTTCAGTCTCAATCTTGCTTCCTCCTTTCTTATCTCGAGCACTCTAAGCACAGGCTCCATCACTGAGCTACATTCATTTCTAATGAAATTGCCTAAATTAGAGTTCTCTCAATACTGGCTAATCAGTGCTGTAATAAGGAACTGTTCCTCTGAAAACCTCAAATGTGTGCCTGGCAAGTGTGAGGTCATGAGTTCAATCCCCAATATAAAAAAAAGAAAACTGGGGCTGGGGATTTAGCTCAGCGGCATAAGCGGCATAAACGCCTGCCTTGCAAGCAGGCAGTCATGAGTTCGATCCTTGGTACCAATAAAAAAACAAAACAACAATAACAAAAAAACCCTGAAATAATGTTTCCCAGGCCCTTTTTATTTGCATTGAATCCAGGCCCTTCTTTTTATAGTGTGTGTGTGTGTGTGTTTGAGACAGGGTTTCACTGTGCAGTTCAGGCTGGCCTTAAACTCACTATGTAGCTTGGGCCGGCCTCAAACCTACGGCAATCCTCCTGCCTGCCTGTCGTGAGTGCTGGGATTATAGGTGTATGCCACCATGCCCAGACTTTGTTTTTTAAGGCAAGGTCTACTAAGTCACCCAGGATGGGCTCAAACTTGCAATTTTCCTGTCTCAGCCTACCAGAGTGCTGGGGATACAGGTGTGTGTCACCATGCTTCACCTTTTATTTTGAAATAAGGTGTTGCTAAATTACCAGATCAGGCTTAAATTTGAGATCTTCTGGTCTGTCATTTACTGAGGATCCTAAAAAATATGGGTCCTCTTCTTTGGCAGCTCAGGATTCTTTTTTTTTGTCTTCTTCTTTTTTATCAGTACCAGGGATCGAACTCATGACCGCTTGCTTGCAAGGCAGGTGCTTATGCTGCTGAGCTAAATCCCCAGCCCCGCAGCTAAGGATTCTTGGAGTTACACTTTTTAAAACACACTTATGTTTGTCCTTTAAAAATAGACACTAATGATGTAATGTTAGAGTCAGTGTGACTTGATTATGGAATAGCTCTTTATATCACTATAAGACTGCTAAAAGAATGCATACTCTTTTAAGAATTACCATGGAGGGGCTAGGGATTTAGCTCAGCAGCGTAAGTGTTTGCCTTGCAAGCTTGCGGTCCAATTAAAAAAAATTACCGGTACCAATTAAAAAAAATTACCATGGGCTGGAGATTTAGCTCAGTGGCGCAGTGCTTGCCTGGTAAGCATGAGGTCTTGAGCTTGGTTCCTCGTTCTCCCCCCAAATGAAAGAATTATTGTGCATATTAAGAACATGATATAGGGCCGGGGGTTTAGCTCAGCAGTATAAGTGCTTGCTTGGCAAACTTGAGGTCGTGAGCTCGATCCCCAGCACAACAACAACAACAACAACAACAACAACAACAACAACAACAAAAACACCGCAAAACATGATATAGCACCTGCTTGGCTAGCATGAGGTCCTGAGTTCAATCCCCAGTACCCATCTCCCCCCAAGAACAAAATATAACCTGTATTTCAGAGAATTTACTTAAGATTTATCTAAGAGAAAAGCCACTCTGGGGCCAGGCCTTTATTTCAGTGGTACAACCTGTGCTTGGCAAGCAGAAGGTCCTACTTTCAATCCCCAGGACCAAGCCAGGAAAAGGCACTCTGGTATTTGGGCTATCAGAAATGTTACTTCTGAACATCAAGTCAGCAGATAAATTGGTTATTTCTGTTCCTCAGCATGAAGATAAGAACTGAGTCCTAGCAGAGATAAGAAAAACTAGTAAGTTTTGGGAAAGTTTACCAGTTTAAAAAGACAGTGTTAAATGTGTGTTTTTTTTTTTTTGGGGGGGGGGCTTTTTTCCTAGTACTGGAGACTGACTCTAGGGCTTTTATACTTCAGTCCATTTATTTATTTATTATTTTGAGAGCGGGTCCCATGAAGTTGATAAATTGCACAAAGCTGGGTTCTAATTTGTGATCATCTTGCTTTAGCCTCCCACAGTCTTGGGATTATGGGCCTGTGCCACCGTGGTTTTCTTTGGAAAACAATTTCAGTGAGTTTGACTGTAAGGTTATAAACCATTTAAGTATGTTTGGCAAAAACTTTCAGGTACGCAAAAACAGTAAGGATCCAGTACTTTAAAATGTGTATGCAAGGTATGGCACACATGCCTGTAATCCTACTTAACTGGGATGCTGAAGCAAGACTGCTAAATTAGGGCCCTGTCCTGGCAATTTAGTGACTTGGCCCTATCTCAAAACAAAAACAAAAATAAAAGCAAAAACAAACACAAACCACACCACACCACACCAAAGACTGGGACTATAGCTCAATGCAAAGGTTCTGGGTTCAATGACCAGTACTAAAAGTAAAATAAAATAAAGATTTATGAAAATGTGTATACCAGGTGTGCTGGCAAATGTCTATAAGATACTAAGGAGGCCGAAACAGGAGGATCACAAGTTCAAGGCCATTTTGGGCACCTTAATGAGACCTTAGCTCAGAAAAAGGGAAAAATAGTATAAAAACGGGACATAGGAGTCTAGGACCACGGGAAGCAAGGATCTATTACATTGAAGCAGAATTCTTATCTCAAAGTTTTAATAATGAACATAAATATCCTTTATACACTTATTATTTAAGATTTTAAGGAAAAGAAGAATTTAGAAAACCTTTAAGAAATATATCTTCCCTCATAGGGAAAAATATTTATTTATTTGTTTGTTTATTTTTGTCTTTTTGAGCCAGGGTCTCACTATGCAGTTCAGGCTGGCCTTGAGCTCACTTTGTAGCCCAGGCTGGTCTCAAACTTGCAACGATTCTCCTGCTTTACCCTCCCAAGTACTGGGATTACAGGCATGCACCACCATGTCAGGTATAAGGAAACACATTTAAACTAAATGTCAAAAATTCTTGGTTTGCTGGGCAGGGTGATGCACACCTATAATCCCACTAGTGGGAGGCTGAGACAGCTGGATAGCTGCATTTGAGGTCAGCCTGGGCTACAAAGTGAGTTCAAGGCTAGCCTGAACTGTACAGTGAAACCCTGTCTCAAAAAAAAAATCAAATCAAATCTTGGTTTGTTATCAACTTATCCCCATTCTTTGTTCTAAGGTATGCCCTCCCTAGATTAAATTAAAAAAAATTTTTAACACCAGGTATATTTATTAGAAAAGAAGAAAGTTATAAAATATCCTATCTTTCCTTAAGAAATTAAAAATAAAACAGAATAAAACCAAAAACAAACAGAAGAAAATAATAAAGATCAGAAAACACAATCCCTTATCAAAATGACATTTTTCATAAAATTACCATTTTGATTCTTACATTTCTGTAGAAATACAAAAGACTAAGAGTAGTCTAAACAACTTTGATAAAGGAACAAAATTAGAGCTCCAACCCTCCCCAGTCCCACAACTTATCACAAAATTACCCCAATCATGACAAAATGGCAATGCTATCAAGAAAGAAAAACCACCAAGGTACCAAAAATCTCAAAATAGATACCCACATTACATACAATTGATTTCTGGCAAAGATGCAAAAGCAATTAAATAGAGAAAGGATTGTACCTTCAATAAAATATACTGGGACAACTGGATATCCACATGCAAAAAGCCCCAACCATATAGCACATCAAAAATTTCTTAAGACATCCAAAAGTCAACTTAAAATGGCTCACAGTGGGTTAAAGTAAAAGCAAGTGTGGCCTGAGTTGTTGTCTGGCTGAAGTCCTTTTCTTTGGGACAAAATACATGTTTTTTCTTTCAGCTTGTCACTCTAATGAAACAATATGATGTTTATACATGCATGATATATTTGGTAAATAAAATACTTTAATGGAACTTTTTAAAGTAAAATACTTTAATGGATCCCACTTGTCAGAATGACTTAGGAATATAGGTCAGAGGAAATACCCTACAATTCACCAAGGTAAGCTATTTTCCACTGAAAGTAGAGTGGCTTATATGGCCACCCTGTCATCATCCCCAAAGAAACATAAAGAAGCCAACTTCAATATAAATAAGCTAGTGACAAAAGCTGACAAGAGACTCCAGTATCTACATTCCTACATACATTTTAGATGATTGGTCTCAATAAATCATCTACATGCTCATAAACCATTACTTTACCTACATTCTTCTACTTGAGCAAAAAGACTTCTTTTTTGCCGAGTGTGGTAGCACACACCTGTAATCCCAGAATTTGGGAGACTGAAGCAGGAGGCTCACTGTGAGTTTGAGGCCCACCTGGGCTACACAGGGAGACCCTGTCTCAAAAAACAAAAAATAAAAACAAATCAGAGAAAACAAAAAAACTGCGCCTCAATGTCTTATGTTACTTTTCTTCCATTGCTGAGACAAAATACCCAGCACCTGAAGTTAAAGGGGTGAAAGAAAGTTTATGTATCTCAGTTTGAGGACGTTTCAGTTCATAATCAACTGGTTCCAAGACAGGGGCAACTTCATAGTGGCAGAAGACAGCAAAAGCAGTAAGACAGAGAACAAGACAAGCCTCCTTTTGTCCCTTATATTATGTCCAGTCTACTGGAATTAGGGAAGTGCCAATCCAATCAGTGGACTGATCCAGCTATCACCCACCCTTAAAAATTTCAGCACCTTTAATCCCAGCATTGCACCATGAGTCAATCACACACTCTAGGTTCAGTCACCTCTGAAAAGCATCCCCCTACAGGTGGCATGAGGTTTTGGGGGGATATTTAGATACACACCTTAACAATGACATTACTATTACTTTTATTTTTCTTATTGTATTTCAGAATACTTCCAAAGTTTTCTTTAAGAGGCAGGCATTAACTTCTGTAATCAGCTTTTTCTTTTGTTTGTTTGAGAGAGGGTTTCAGCTGTGTAGTTCAGGCTGGCCTTGCACTCACTATGTAGCCCATGCTGGCCTTGAACCTGCAGTGATCCTCTTGCCTTAGCTTTTCCAGTGCTGGGAATACAAAGGT